TGCGCGCTCTTCGCTCGGCTCTGCTGCGTCGCCTGGACTGGGGCGCATGCGCGCGCATGCGCGACGGGCCGAGGGCGCGCGTTGCCAGGTGTCGGGGCGGGTGGCGGCGGGCGATGGGACGGCCGGCGCTTCTGCTGCTTGCGCTGTGCGCAGCCGGCGCCCGGGGACTCTACTTCCACATCGGCGAGACCGAGAAGCGGTGCTTCATCGAGGAGATCCCCGACGAGACCATGGTCATCGGTCAGGCGGGGCGAGGGAGGACGGGACCCTGTGTGTCCCCCAGACGCGGCCACGGCGCCCCGCGGAGTGTGGGAGCCGGCCGGAGCAGGCGGGTCGTGACGGCACTGTCTGCTCCGCAGGGAACTACCGCACCCAGATGTGGGACAAGCAGAAGGAGGTCTTCCTGCCTTCGACCCCCGGCCTGGGCATGCATGTGGAGGTGAAGGACCCGGAAGGCAAGGTAGGGCCCCGCTGGTCGTGCTCGGGCTATGGCACGGGCGGTCTGCAGCCTCCACAAGGCCACGCTTCCGCGGAGCTCTCTGGGCCGTGCAGGGCTCAGAGGACAGGGCTGCGTGCAGGTGGGGGTTGTCACGGTGTGTCCCGTTGCAGGTGGTGCTGTCCCGGCAGTACGGCTCCGACGGCCGCTTCACCTTCACCTCCCACACGCCCGGTGACCATCAGATCTGCCTGCACTCCAACTCCACCAGGATGGCTCTCTTTGCTGGCGGCAGACTGGTAAGAGGATTGCCTCCTCGGCCACAGCTCAGAATCTCTCCCCTGATTCCGCTGAGTTCTGAGTTAATGGCCACCGTCCTTTGGGACACAGTCACAATCAGAGAGACGGTGTTGCATTTCTGTCCCACAGCCAGGGACGGGACTAGGTTCCCCAGCCTGGAACAGAGAGTCGGAGGGTTTCTGACCTTAGGGCTTTGGGGCACCACCCCTGTGTCTTTCTAGCGCGTGCACCTGGACATCCAGGTTGGGGAGCATGCCAACAACTACCCCGAGATTGCTGCCAAGGACAAACTGACCGAGCTCCAGCTCCGAGCCCGCCAGCTGCTTGATCAGGTGGAACAGA